AAGGCTTTTTAGCACCAGGGAAAGGGTACCTACACTAGCAGGGGATCAAATTCTGGCTCTGTCACTTCCTAGTTCTGTGTCCTTGGGCAAGTGACTAAGCCTCACTGAGCCTCAATTTCTTTCTTCATATTATGGGGATAATTAGTATTTACTGGTTTAGAGGCTTAATGAGAAGGAGACAATGTGAGGATAAAATCAGGGGAAGGGCTTGTTTAGAGCAGGACTTTGGAATTTGGAGGCTTCACTCCCAAACCAGTGCTTCATATGCTGATGCTTCACTTCAACTTGCTTGGTGTGTCCTCCCATCTGAGGACACAGTATCCAAATGTTCAGGTTAATAGTGGTTTCTGGTTGGGTGCTGGCATTTTAAGTGACTTGATTTGTTCTTAATAACTGTACTTACATTTTTATTTATAATTTAGTTTTTGCGGTGCTGGGGATGGAACCAAGGGCCTTGTCCATGCCAGGAAAGCCTTCTACCACCACACTGCACCCTTGTTCTACAATTTTTGTTTTACAAAGAGCTAAGGGGTACAGGCAAGGCATCAAGATCACAAGTTCCAGGCCAGCCTCAGCAACTTAGGCCCTAAGCATCTTAGTGAGACCCTGTTTCAAAATTAAAAATAAAGAAAAGGGGGGATGGGTGGGGATGTGGCTTAGTGGTTAAGCGCCCCTGGGTTCAATTCCTGGTACCAGAAAAAGGAAAAGAAAAAGAAAATGTGGTATATCTACACAATGGAGTTGGTGGGCTGAGGTGGTGATTCTGTGCAGGAATATTTCACTGCTACATGGAGTATGCCCGGCTGCGTGGGGAGGCCGGCTCTGATGTCTCCCTGGTGGACCTTGGCTTCCAGACAGACCTCCGGGTGTACTTGCACTTACGGCAGACCTGGATGGCCTTCAGTGAGTTGAAGCCCCCTAATCCTGCCTCTGGTGGAGCCTGGGTGATAGTGGGGAGCCCAAACGGCTCATCCTCGGCCTCTTACAGTGATCATTCTGAGCATTCTTGAAGTGGTCATCATCTTGCTGCTCATCTTTCTCCGGAAGAGAATTCTCATCGCCATTGCACTCATCAAAGAAGCCAGCAGGTGGGGTCCAGCACACGAGGGGACCTGGCTGGGTTTTTCCCTAAGTCTCTTCAGGTCTTGATGTCTCTCTGTCTCTGCTCTTCCCCAGGGCTGTGGGATACGTTATGTGCTCCCTGCTGTACCCTCTGGTCACCTTCTTCCTGCTGTGTCTTTGCATCGCATACTGGGCCAGCACTGCTGTGTATCCATCTCCAGACCCCATTTCTGACAGCCTGGGGGACAGGGCTGGATCATGGTGGTGATGGAGGTGGTGGTGGGGGTGTGTATCCTTTCTCATAAGCCCCTAGGGTTCCCAGGCCCAGATTTCAAGTTCCTTAATGAGCCTCTAGCTTCCTGTCCACTTCTAATGAAGCTGTCTATAAGATTTTGGATGATGCCACCTGCTCACTAGCTGGGAAAACCTGCAACCCTGAGGTGGGTGTTCCCCGGGTAGGGAGGGCTGGTATTGCGCCAGCAGCCCTCAGACATTTTGAAACCTCTCATCCCTACTTGGAGATCATATGGCAGACATTTGGCACCTGCTGTTTACACTGTACTGGGTATCAGTGACATGGAGTCGAAGACACCCCCAAGCCTGGATCTGGCAACTTTTCTGAACAAACTGGGAAGTGATACACTTGGCCTTTCCCCCATTTTGGGTGCTGAACTACACCCTTTTCTCCACCGCCATGATGACTGTTCTTGTTTTTAGAACCACTTCTTGTGTTCCACGAGCCCCTATCATGAACTCCCAATTCCTTGATGGCACTCTGATCCTCATGACTTCTGTCTTATTCCATGGTCTAACCTGACTGGCCACTCAGTGATGCCCGGAGCCCAACTGAACTCCTGGCCCCTGTATTTTGACTTGGTCTTGTGTCCCTCTCCCAGACCTTCCCTTCCTCCAATGAATCCCGCCTATGCCCCAACGCGCATTGCCAGTTCGCCTTCTATGGCGGTGAGTCCGGCTACCACCGCGCGCTGCTGGGCCTGCAGATCTTCAATGCCTTCATGTTCTTTTGGCTGGCCAACTTCGTGCTGGCGCTGGGCCAGGTCACACTGGCTGGGGCATTTGCCTCCTACTACTGGGCCATGCGCAAGCCAGACGACCTGCCAGCCTTCCCGCTCTTCTCTGCCTTTGGCCGGGCACTCAGGTAGTGCAGGGCTGGGGATGGATTGGGGTGGAGGTGTTCTGGCCAGCTGCTGACCATCCCCTCTGCCCACAGGTACCACACAGGATCCTTGGCCTTTGGCGCTCTCATTCTGGCCATTGTGCAGATCATCCGAGTGATTCTTGAGTATTTGGATCAGCGCCTGAAAGGTGTGGTCCCGCCACAGCTGTTATTGTCTCTTGCTGGGGGAGGGAGTATGTGAGGAGCCGGGGATTCCTTCTTGCTTGGTGGTGGGTGGAAAAAAGTGATGGGACCATAATTGGTTTGTGCCTATTGGGGTGGGGAGCTGGGGGGCTAAAGTGATTGGTTCCCAAGGGGCGGGTCCAAGAGGCCTGAGGAACCATTGGCTCCTGCAAGGAGGGCGGGATGAGGATGGGATGGAGGTGGGAGGCTTCTGCTTGGGCTTAGGGGCGGGGCCTGTGCAGCAGTGTGTGTATGGGGATTAAGGTTCTTGGGGGCGGGGCTAAAGAGCTTTACAATTGGCTCATTCATTAGGGGCGGGGCCAAGGACTCTTGAATTTCCATCCACTTTTGAATCCCTTTCTTTCTCTTCCAGCTGCGGAGAACAAGTTTGCCAAGTTTCTCATGACCTGTCTCAAGTGTTGCTTTTGGTGCCTGGAGAAGTTCATCAAATTCCTCAACAGGAATGCCTACATCATGGTGAGTGGCCCAGACAGTGGGAGAATGAACTCATCAGCTCTTGCCTGGTGAGTTCCCTACCCAGTGGGCCTGATCCTTCCTCCTCCCTTCCAGATCGCCATCTATGGCACCAACTTCTGCACCTCGGCTAGGAATGCCTTCTTCCTGCTCATGAGAAACATCATCAGGTCAGAGACGACACCTCCCTCCGGTTGCTTCCCTCTCTCCCCAGTCCTTGAGCCAATATTCACACCTGCCCCTCACTGTTCCCTGCAGAGTGGCCGTCCTAGACAAAGTTACCGACTTCCTCTTCCTGTTGGGCAAACTTCTGATCGTGGGCAGTGTGGGTGAGTGCCACTACCCCGCCTGTGATAGTACGGCAGCCTATTGGGAGTGACTTGTGAAATGCCATCATGCTCCATCTCTTCTATGATAAATGTCACCTTGGGGATCTCATTTCCTATAGCCAGAACTCTCAACCATCTTTGTTTTCTTTCCCCTACCTCCAGGAATCCTTGCTTTCTTCTTCTTCACCCATCGGATCAGGATCGTGCAAGATACAGCACCACCTCTCAATTATTACTGGGTCCCAATACTGGTATGGAGATCTTTGGGGACAGATAGAAATCTGGGGATAAGGAGGTATTGGGACATGCTTGGCCTCCTTTGGACAGATGTGGATGAAAGTCAGATGGACTGAATATTTATTCAGCCCATAAACATTTTTGTAGATGTCCTTTCCTTTAGAGGCTTTACAGTTTAGAGGTAAACAGACATTAATTAAGAATTAATATTGGGGGCTGGGGATATAGCTCAGTTGGTAAAGTACTTGCCTTGCATGCACAAAGCCCTGGCTTCAATCCCCAGCATCACAAAAAAATAATAGTAAAAAAGAATTTATTGGGCCAGGCTTGGTGGCACACAATCAATCAATCAATAATAGTACTGGCAAGCCAGGTGAGGTGGCCTAGGCCTGTATTCCCAGTGACTCAGGAGGTGGAGGCAAAAGGATTAAAAATTCAAGGCCAGCCTCAGCAAATTAGCAAGGCTCTATGCAATTTAGTGAGACCCTGTTTCAAAAATGAAAAAAAAAAAAAAAAAAAAGGCCTAGGATGTAGCTTAGGGGTAGAGTGCTTACCTGGCATGATCAAGACCTGGGGTTTGGTCACCAGAACCTTAAAAAAAAAATACAAATAAAAAAAATAAGAGAATGATATTGGTGAGTGTAAATTGCCATCTGGGACATGTTGTGGCATATTTACACACTATAGGGAATCATTAGGGTCTGTGGTGAAGGATCTGGGTAGGTCAAGGAGTCCAGGTGACTTCATGCAAATGATACTGAATCTGAGATCTGAAGCTGTAGGTGACTGCCAGGCAGAGAGAACAGCAAGTACAGAGGCCCTGAGACAGGACCCTGCACCAGGAGCAGCGAGGAGACCAGTGAGTTGATGTGAGAGTAAGGAGCTAGAGAGGAGGATAAGGAGGTGACAGGGTTGGATGGGTTGAGTCTCCATCCCCAGAGCAGTACAGGCCTTGGGGCCCAGTGACCTAGATTTTTTTTTAATCTTATTTCCTGTATTTGTTCATTCTAGGGTGAGTAACTGGGCAAAGTTTTTAATCTCCCTAAAGTCAACTTCAGTCAACAAATGTTTATCGGACTCCCAAGGCCCTAGGAGTCTCCAAATTGCTAGGGATATAGCAATAAATACATGCATACAGTCTAGTAGTTATTAAACCTATAATTCCCTAAAAACAGGTATGACATTGAAGCTGAATGCAGGCCTGAGGTAGGGTGCATAGTGCCAGGAGAGTCCCAAACAGGGTCTAGGTGTTGGAGGCAACTTCTGGAGTAGGTGGTACTTGAGGACTCGCTATTTAAGCTGAAAGCAGAAAGATGATGGGGCGTGAATTACACTTAAGTAATGTACACAGGCAGCATGTACAAAGGCCATGAGGTTGAAGAAAAAAAGATGTGATACGTGGGCGATGGGATCCTGTCAGCAGTGGTGAGAAGTTGTTCTTCCAAAGAGGGCTTATCAACTGGGGATTGACATGAAGGCAGTCTAGGAAGGGCTTGGTGGGTGGGGCTTGTTCTGGGCAAGAGCTGGGGCAGAAACAAGCCATCTCCCCTCCCCCAGACGGTGATTGTTGGGTCCTACTTGATTGCCCATGGTTTCTTCAGCGTCTACGGCATGTGTGTGGATACGCTATTCCTCTGCTTCTGTGAGTGACCCCTCACCCCAGCCCTCATGGGGCCCCAAATCCCTCCTTCCCGTGGGTCATGCCATCTCCCCGCAGTGGGCACACATCAGTGTTCAGTGCCCTCCGCTTCCCCAGGTTGTCCCTTGTCCCAGGGCCCTAGCATGCCTTCCTGGCTTCCTCACTGCACGGAGCTGCTCCATCCTGTGGTCCCCCAGCCCGGGCTACCGCGGGAACCCTCTGCCCCCGGGTCCCCAGCTCTGGAGCTTCTGGCTTTGTTGGGGGTGGGTCTGTGGCTGCCACTAACTCGGGTCTCTCCGTCTGTCTGTTTTTGTTTTTCTTTTCTCTTCCTCTCCTCCATGCCTGCTGGCTTCCCCGTTCTTCCCCTGCCTCCCTTTCCCCCTCCTTTCCTGACACCCCACTTTCCCCCGCCGGCTCCTGGGGGGCCCAGGTGAGGACCTTGAGAGGAATGACGGCTCTCAGGAGCGACCCTACTTCATGTCGCCCGAGCTGAGAGACATCCTGTTAAAGGGGAGTGCGGAGGAGGGCAAGCAGGAGGAAGTCGAGGACTAGAGAGTGAGGGAGACTGGCCTGGGAGCCGCGTGTCCTCCCGTAGGCTGGGGGAGGTGCATGTGGGGGGGCTCCCTGGCCTGGGAGTGTGGGATCGTGTGGTCCCTTCCCAAGCCCACTGCAGTCTGCCCCTCTGGTCCTAGTGTGTCTTGCTTTCTAACCCTCGGAGGCTTCTCTATGGCCCTCATCCCCTCACCCTGTCCCCAAGGCCCCTGCCTGTGGACTCTCTCTCATGCCACCTGCTCTGGGGCCTCTCTCTGCAGTGGAGGATCTGGAGAGAAACGACGGGTCAGCTGAGAGGCCTTACTTCATGTCTTCCACTCTCAAGAAGCTCTTGAACAAGACCAACAAGAAGGCGGCAGAGTCCTGAAGGCCTGGCCTCCCCTGCCTCTCCAGAGCCCTCCAACTGGGTGCTTGGTCGGCGGCTTGGGTCAGTACCCCCAGCCCATCGGAGTGGCCTGAAGTCCTGTCACTGCCTCTCTGCCCCCTCTTCATGATCTAGTTACTGCCAGTTTCTGGGGACCTGGAGGATCTGGGGTATCTCTTCCCTATGCCAAGGGGTGCTCGGAGTTTCCACAGCAGCCCTGCAAGACTGAGATGACATGAGTCACTTTAGCTCTCACTGACCTGGATGGGGACAAATCCGGTGTAGCCTCTTGACGCCTGGGATGGGAGGTGGCCAGACTTCTGCCAGCTCCTTCATGCTTTCTGTCCTCTTCTTAGACCACAGTGGGAGAACAATGGGAAGGACTGAGATTGTATATGAGAGAGCAGCGGCTAGGCTGAACTTGAGTTCCAAGTTCCCCCTGCCTCTCTAGCCAGGACTGAAACCCATCTCCACGGCTGAACCATTGGCTCAAGGGCCGCCGGATGCATTTCTTTATTATTATTATTTTTTAACTTGGACATTCATTAAAGGGTCTATTAGCTTTTATTCCATCTGTCTCCACAGCTGGGATGGAGCTGCCAGGGAGTGCCTTCATTTGTCCCCACCCTCTACTGGGTGTGGCTGGGCTGGGAGTGTGTGCTTGCAGTAACTAAGTCCCGACTGGAGAGGACATATTGGGGGGGACTCATTGAGGAGAGCCCTTGATGAGAGGAGATGGGGCCAGATGTTGGGAGTGGCAGCAGGAATTGGGCTTGACCACCAGAGCACGCCAAAAGAGATGCTAATGATGCTTAATGGAAACCTGCTGGCCTGTTGCCTGGCTGGAGAATTGGACCCGATGCCTCCCGCCTCCCGCCCTCGCCCTCGTTTGCCAGTTATTGACACTGCTCTCTTTGTAAGAGAGAAAAGAAACTGTATCCACCTAAGGGATGGTTTTCAGGGGACAGGGGTGGGTGGGGCAGGTGCCCTGAGCTAACAGGGCCCTCTGCCTACTCGCCTACCTTGGGGATCCTTTTGCCAAACTGTTGAATTCAGGGGACCCAGTTGTCTGGTTCCCCCTTTGCCCACCACAAACCCAGCAACCCCTACCCCCACTTCATGCCTTCACCCATGGGCACCATCAGCACTGTCCATCAGGATCCTGGAGAGGGAGGATTCCCAGCCTGTGGTCTCCTGTCTCCGTGCCTGCCACCTGCCATCCCCTTCCTGTCTGCCCAGCTCTATGCATCTGTTAATTGCATTCCAACCACTAATAAAGTGCCTATTGTACAGGTCTGGGCCTGGCATGTTTGTGGGGGGAATGAGAGGATGATGGGGGAACCCCAGCTTCCAGTGCTCTGGGATTCTCAAAGTTGGGGAAGAAGGAAGGGCAGAAAACCCACTGTCTGCTGGCCTTGATCTCCGCCCCAAATTCTTCCATTGAAGCTGCTCAAGTTTCTCCTGGAGGCAGCTGGCTGAAAAATGGCCCTTCTGCTCTGATCCCTGGAGTGCACAAGGCAGCCACCTCCCATCCACCTCCTCAGTCACAAGTCCTGGGCACATCCCCCAGATCTTTCTCCCAGTGCACCTCACCTGAGGCCCCATAGTCTAGCCCAGCTGCTTTTGATCCGTCTTGCTCCCTGGAGGCTTGCTGCTGCCCCCTGGTGCCAGCTGTTATTGTCTCCAGGCCATCTGCTCTACAAGGTTAGGGTGTTTATTTCCCTCCTCTGGAATTTAGTTATTTTTCCTTTTTCCCTTGCTTATTTCCTTTTCCCCTTCTTTCCTTTCTTCTCTTCTTTTTGTTTATTTATTTTTTGTGGTACCCAGGGCCTTGAGTGTGCTAGGCAAGCTCTCTACTACTCAGCTGCACCCCACTACTGGTTTTTTTTTTTTTTTTTTTTTTTGGTACCAGGGATTGAACCAAGGGGTGCTTAACCACTGAGCCACATCCAAGCCCAGGGTCTCACTAAATTGCTTAGGGTCTTGCTAGGTTGCTGAGCCTGGCCTTGAACTTGGGATCCTCCTGCCTCAGTCTCCCAAGCTGCTGAGATTATAGGCATGCACCACATGCTTGGCTCTTCAGTCCCTTTTCCAGACAAGTTTAGCCTCCTGAGTAACTGGGATTACAGGTATGTGCGACCTACCTGTACTTTTGTTTTGGTACCCGGGATTTAATTCAGGGGTACTCACCCACTGAGCCACATCCCCATCCCCAGCCCTATTTTGTATTTTATTTAGAGACAGAGTCTTAGCACCTCCCAGCTGCCGAGGCTGGCTTTGAACTTGCAATTCTGTCTCAGCCTTCCAAGCCACTAGGATTGCAGGCAGGCACCACCGTGCCCGACAATGGACGATTCTTAAGTAACCACTTTTGTGTAACTGTGATGGGTATGCAATCTACAACTTTTGTTTATTTTGTCTGTTTATTTTTAAGTTGTGCTGAAGATTGAACTCAGTGCCTCACTCGTGCTAAGCAAGAGCTCTGCCACTAAGCTACAGCCCCAGCCCTTACAACCTTTTGTTTATGCAAGCATATATTATAACCTTGAGCTACATCTTCAACCCCATTAACCATATTTTGAGTATAGTCATCCCTCAGTATCCATGGAGAATTTATTACAGCTTACTAGGCTACTGAAATTTGCAGATTATCAAATCCCTTACACATAATGATGTAATATGTGAACAGCCTCCCTTAGACTCAATCATCTCTAGGCAACTTGTAATACCAGATGCAATGTAAATGGTATGGAAATAGTTGTTACGCTGTTGTTTAGAGAATGATGACAAGGAAAAAAACTCTGTACTTGTTCATTATAGATGCATTACACAGGGCCATGTGCAAGATAGGCAAAAAGAAAAAAGTTCTACCACTGACCTACAAACCCCAAAATACCTTTTATTTTTTTTAAGTTTTAGGTGGACACAATATCTTTATTTATTTATTTTTTAATGTGGTGCTAAGGATCCAACCCAATGCCTCACACATGCCTGGCGAGCGCACTACCACTTGAGCCACATCCCGAGCCCCTAAAAACATTTTTTTTTCCATATGCTATTGGTTGAATCTGCAGATGCAGAACTTGCAAAAAAAAAAAAAAAAGGGCCAACTATCCTTCTTCTTCTGTTGTGCATAGCACCCCACTTCTATTACTCTATATTTTCCAAGGATGAAAGTGAAGGCAGAAAGGTTTGGTGACATGGCTAAAGGATGCCCAGTTGGAAAGGGGCCAAGAAGGGATTTCAGATGAGATAGGTACTTTCAGGGTGGTATGGCTGTAGGCCCAAGAAGGCATTTCAATGCACGCCTCCTCGACTCCAAAGTCCTCAGTCTCTACCCTGTACTGGTACTGACCTCTCTGAATGCTGTCTTTTTTGTTTGTTTGTTTGTTTTTTTAAATGTTTTAAATTTGTTCTAATTAGTTGTATCCTGACTTTTGCCTGGATGATTTGAATCTGGTTTTTCCTCACCTCCAGCTCATATTTCCTTACCTCCAGCTCATCCCTGCCTCCAACATAGCTCCTCACCCCACCTACTTTTTTCCACCTGTCCAGCTTTCAATTCCTATCAGCAATCATCTGGGTCACAGCAGTCCAGCCAAGCAGCTCCCCAGTTCCAGTCCCGCTTCCTAGACACATTGTTTCCCCCTACAGGGGACAGAAGGCTCTTGTGAACCTTCTTGTCATGCCCCCTCTTCAAGAATCCTCCTTCGTAAGATCAAGGCCAGCCTGGGCAACATAGCAAGACTGTGTCTCAAAAAATAAAAAGCACTGGGGATGTAGCTCAGTGGTAAAGTGCTCCTGGGTTCAATCTCCAGGACCAAAAAACAAACCATAAACAAAAGCCAAGGTAACTAACAGGATACTACTACAATGGTCCAAACATTGTGGTGGACTGCACTCAGGTGGTCACACGTGGAATGTGAAAGAAAGCAAGGAGTCAAAGAGGAGGGGTAAGTGAGGGTGGGAAGAGGGAAGGGAAAAAAAAAAGAAAAAGAAAACCAACAAGGCAAGGGTGCAATGTCACAAACTTTCCTTTAGAGGCGCCCACTGCTTGATCCTGATGTGAGCTTGGCATGTGGATTGCATTCTTTGTGTATTCTTGCACTGAAAAGTCAATAAGAGAAGGCTACCCTGAGGGAGCATGAGTTCTGAGACTTCTGATTCTCTGTGCAGTCAGAATGGCACTGGCACTATGGTCCTAAGCCTAAGGATAGCTGCTGAGGAAGAGCTGCAGGTGTGGGGTATGGACAATAATATTTCACAATGCTCAGACAAGGGTGGAAAAACACCCTAATAAAACAGATCTGTCGTCAGGTGCTGTGGTGCACACCTGTAAGACAGGAGACAGGGGGATCAAGAGTTCCAAGCCAGCGTTAGCAAAAGTGAGGTGCTAAGCAACTCAGTGAGACCCTGTCTCTAAATAAAATACAAAATAGGGCTGGGGATGTGACTCAGTGGTCCAGTGCTCCTGAGTTCAATCCCAGGTACCTCCCCCCACAAAACAAAAACAAAAACAAAAAAACCCCCAAAAAACCAGACCTGTCAAACAGATGGTTGATGTGTGTATCTGAACTTCTGATAATTTCAAGCTGGAAGCATGCAAATGATTTTTTTTTTTTTTTGTACGGAGATTGAACCCAGGGGGAGTTTGAGCCACATCGCGGGCCCTTTTCAGTTTTTGAAACTCTCTTGTTAAGTTGCCTAGGCTGTGCTCAAACTTGTCCCTGTCTGAACAGCAAGAGAAGCTAAGATTAGAGGCATGTGCCACTGCACCTGGCTCTATCTTTATGTTATTGGGAATTGAACCCAGGGACACTTTATCACTGAGTTACATCTCCAGATCCATGTTTTTATTTATTTATGTATTTATTTATGTATTTATTTATTTATTTATTCATTTATTTTCTATATGGAGGATTGAACACATAGGGCACTTAACCACTGAGCCATATCCCCAGCCCATTTTTGTATTTTATTTGGAGACAGGGTTTCACTGAGTTGCTTAGCACCTTGCTAAGTTGCTGAGGCTGGCTTGCAACTCCTGATTCTCTAGCCTCAGCTTCCCAAGCAGCTGGGATTACAGGCATGTGCCATGTGCCCAGGTCCATGGTTTTCATTTATTTGCACCAGGGATTGAACACTGGGGCGCTTAATTGCTGAGCCACATCCCCATCCCCTTCTATGTTTGATTTTGAGGCAGGGTTTCACTAAATTGCTGAGGGTGTTGCTAAGTGGCTGAGGCTAGCCTTGAACTGGCAATCCTCCAGGCTCAGCCTCCCAAGTTGCTGCAATTACGGACATATTTCAGTTTATTTCTGGGTTGGTGTCTTTTTCTCTATCAAGTTCTTTCAACAGGACATTAATCTCTGTCCTCAACCACACCTTGTGGCTTCAAGATCAGAAAAAAGGCCCAGGCTTCATGCTCCATGGACCCTAATTTTGGTGAATACTCTCTTTTTAATATATTTTTAGTTGCAGATGAACACAATATTTTTACATAGTGCTGAGGATCAAAACCACAGGTGCTATGCAAGAATTCTACCACTGAGGTGAAGTGCAACTCCAGCCCCTGGTGAATTACTCTTAATATGTTTGGGCACTGGGCCTAGTTTTGGAGTCAGGCAGGAGGATCTGCCATTTGAACTACAGAGTGAGCAAGGAAAAGGAATTGTTCTCTAAAGCAGTGTGGTCATCCTATGTCCATCCTGAGATGAAAGGAAGGCAGCAGCAGTCTAGCTTGCAAGGGGAGTTCTGGGTATGATCAGGAACTCTCCTGTAATGTTCAAAGATGAGGAAGGCAATGGATGGAGGGGCGTGTTGTTAATGAGGTTGGCAGCACCCTCAACGGAGGACAGCAAGAGCAGGGGCTGGATTTGTCAAACTAATGAGAGTGAGGTGGGAAAAGCAGAAAGGGGAACAACTAGATGGCAGGGAGTGTCTTTAAGGCAAGAAGATGATAAGAGAAGTGTGATAGGGGATTGTTAATCCTGGGGCAGTGGAAATCAAGGACAGTGGTAGGAGGCTGGTCAGGGTAGGGATGCAGGGAGGAGAGAGGGCAGATGGCATCCTGCATCTTTTATGGTGGCCAAGGAGTAACATGGACAGGGAGCAATGCTGGATGTGGCTCATCAGTTTGGGCTGAAAACCTTTTACCAACCTGCGTCCAGGGGATTTTTTGGGGGGAGGTATAAGAGATTCAACCCATGGATGCTTAACCACTGAGCTACAAAACCATTCCCCCTCAGCCTTTTTTGAGACAGGGTCTCACTAAGTTGCTTAGGATCTTGCTAAAC